GGAACAAGAAGCTACTAGAGGCTCCTGGCCTTACTACTAGGAACAAGAAGCTACTAGGAGCAAAGAGCAAAGAACAAGAAGCTACTAGTATGTCTCCGCACCCGACTCTGCGGGCCTTTAAAGCTCCTCGTTCCATGCGGCCTCACCCGTTGGATGGTAGGGATCCTTAGGAACTGTGCTGTTCGACATCTTGAAATTACGTGAAGCAAGCGAAGTCCTTGAAGAAGTGCTCATATAGCATCAGCATCAGCATTCATCAAAACAACTTTAAAATATACTGGTAGCTCCTTTTCCCGCAGATCAAATGGCCTCTTTGAGCCAGTGATCAAATGAGGGCCATGGGGCAGCCAGCTGGCTTTGGTCCTGACCAACGCGAAATCCTCCAAGTCGCTTTGTCGAATAGCTTTGTTGAAGCGAAACCCTTCCCAGAGCGCGCCTTGGTAGGCTTGGCAAACAGCATTCAGCAAGTCGTTCTCATCAGAGAGCACCCGCCCATCCACAAGCACGTATGGAACGCCTCATCTGGGCTAAATGATCAGGATCTAAATTGGTTTGACTTAGAGTGATGAAGCGCTACAATCAGCCCCAATTTGGGTGATGAAACTATGCACCTACTCGAAATGGACCTGGCGAAGTGTGGGTGCCGACAACGGGCCCTGATCTAAATCGTGCCAAATCAAAGGTGCAAAGTCTGAATAATCACGAATGTGGCCACATCATCCAACTTTGATCAAGGTTCGTTGCTACTATAATTGACTTCACCGTGACTACGGTCTACTGATGCGACCTGCCCCCAGCCAACTCAGCTGAGCGCTATCAACAAACATCAACCACACCTGGATGAGGAGGTGTGGCTTTTGCCATGGCTATGACAGCGTCGTCGCCATGTTCTGTGCACCAATTAAGCAGGCTTGAAGAAGCACCACATCTTTCTGCTACCTGAGAAGTTTCCAACGACTGCCCTTTGGATATTCCTATCCTGCAAGAATCAGGATTTGGTACGTTCTACTACTACATCTAACTTGGCAAGTGACCGCTGTAACATCCGCAAAGCTGGATTTGCCATTCTGCAGCTTTCCCATGTAGAAAGCCTTCTCAATACATCGAGAGATCTCCCAATTGCCTCCAAGGACTCACTCTCTTTTTGGGGGTGCGTTCCTCTATGAAAGCACCACCAAACCCATTGAACACATACAACGGTAGTAAATGGCCCATGTGATTTGTCGGCATGTCGCTGAGCCAGCTGCCTGATGGGTCGCGCACTTTCGCACAAGCCTCCAACGTAAGCAGAGAAGTCAAACTCGGCAAATCAGCCAAATTGTTAGAGAATTCCCCATATTCATCTGATGTCAAGTTTTGGAAGTGGCAGCAGTGATACATCCCAAATTGACAGCGCCTCGATGCGGTTCGCAAAGCATTCGACGCTCCCATGTTGGCAGTGCAATTGGCCAGGACCATAACAGTCAGGAAAAGGATCCCCTGGACGTTTGACAAAGCCTACTGAACCTGTCAACACGTCAACCCCATGTACAACTTGAACACTTGTCAAGCTACTGAGAGCAAATATGAAATATATAATATGAAATACAAAGGGAGGGAGGTGGATTTATTCTTGGATTAAGGTTGCTGCCAGCAACGTTGTCAAAGTGTGGAGCAAGTCCTCGGTGTCCTCTACTGTGCAAATGATCATCCAGTACACCACGAACGAAAGAACAAAATGAAGACCGCAAGGCCCCAAGCAAGTTGGAATCTGTCCCCACCATTTCTTCCGGGGGAAACCTGGCAGAACAGCAAAGCATCATCTTCTAGATGACCGGTTCTTGACTGACCGATTTTGAGGCTCTTGAGCTTGTGTTTATTTGGAAGCGAACTGAGTTTCTCTCCGCATGAATATTTTATAAGCAAAAGCATGCCACAGCCAAGGGTGCTCGGGGCTTTGTTGTCAAATGCCGCTAACAGCGGCAAGGTACAAGCACAGGTCATGTGAAGAACCATACTAGAGTACTGTAGAACATTAAATAGAATTGCTTGTCCATGTTGCGATCGAGGCCTATATGTAGTACCGCATTCAGCCTGTGCAAAACCCTTGATTTGTGGTCAACATGCACCGACGCGTGTTACAAGAAAGTAGAATGTGTGGGAGTGTGGGAGAAAAAAAGATGCGAACACGCGGGGGCGACCACTCTTGCAAACAATCCAGTTGCGCTCCTGGATTGTTAAAGGAAACAACCACTCTTAGGAGTGTTGGGAAACAACCACTTTTGCAAACAATCCAGTAAAAAGTTGTTAAAGGCCAACACTCCCAACACTCTTGTTGCTCGTAGAAAAGGGGGGCGACTCTGCAGGCCACTCCTTGGGTAGTGACAGTCTCTGCCGGGTGCCTCCAAGGCCACAATGTTTAAAGTAGCAGCTTCTCGTGGTGCTGCTGTACCGACATGAGGTGCTTGTGCCACAGCCTGAGGATCGCATTGAAACAGCAATGGTTGGGGAATAGCAAACATCTGCCTTTGGAATGAACATCTGTCTCCTCATATGCAAAAATATATATATATATAATCCTCTTTGCGAAACAAATTGCAGGTGTGATTGTTTTTTGGCGAATCGGTCTTGAAATGACAGCCAATTGCAAGCACAATGGAGTACCGGAGTACCTGCCATACCCCGTCCTGGCGGTGCAGGCACACCTCCGCACTCCTTGGTGATGAAGTATGCATTGCCAAAGGGTGTCCAGTCAACACCTTTGGCGGAAGACTTTGAAAGGGTAAGCCAGCTGCATCCAAGAAGATTCACAACTATATACAATGATATACTTCATTCCTTGATGTGAACTAATACACCCTTGATATCGCTTGATATACTCAGCGAAAAGACAACATACAAATGATTTGGCTTTAATGGTGTAAATTCATGTAAATGTAAATTGCACCTTGCATTTGTCCTTTTTTGCTGAGGAGCTGATGATGTCGGCAACACCCTTGGCCTCATGGCAAAGCTAAGGAGGATGGTCAGGGAGGACGTTTGCAGCCCAGGCCTGCTCAGCTGTTGCCAGTGCTCCAAAAATGAATCCGATGGTGTCTGGGCAGCCGCTTTCCCCAAACAGGGATACGTTCACTGGCGCTGCCCATGATGTCCTGACCACACAAAGCAAGCAAGGGCCAGCCCCACCAAGCAAGGGCCGGCCCCAGTTGCAGCAAGAAGAAACCACAAGGCCTGATTGGTGCCGTGTACGTTATCAGAAAGGGAAGATGCAGCAGAGATCTCATGACTGCGAATCTTGAGCCCAAATGCAAAACATATCAACTGCCAGTGCTTCCTTTTGGTTGAAGTTTGACATAGTTTAACCGTGCTTCAGCTTCTTCCATTTGCAAGCTCAAGAAGCTGTGTGAATGTGTGTTCATCGGATAGGTGCTGCATGGCGCTATGGCAAGATACCCCCATATGCGGCTGTTGTCACTTGGCATTCAAAAGGTGAATCTTGAAGCAAACTTGGCTGTGTCTTGGCATCCCTACCGCATCTTCTCTGAAGGCTGCTTTGAACTTCAGAGGAACAGACACCTGCTTTGGCGAAGCCGATCTTGTTTCCATTTCTTACCTTGTTCTCTGGCAAACGCCACACTCTCATGTCAGGATCGGAATGCTGGGCAAATCTGTCACGAAGCAAGAAAAGCCTCAATTGGATCATTGGTGAAAACGTCTGGCATCATATACTCGGAGACCATGCTGCCATAGATCATCACCCGTTCATGCCCCCAAACTGCACAGTTGGCGTCAACTTGAACACAAAGAGTCCAAGATGAAAAAGCAAAATGCCAAAACAATAGAAACGAGTGAGTGCTTCCGTGGTCGCACCGACGTGAGTGCTTCCGTCATAAGCTGAAAGGATTCAAAGCTGAAAGCGCGCAAAACCCTTGGGCTGTGGCCTGGGTGGAGCTCTCGATGAAGTAAAAGCCTAGCTTGAAGCCTCGGTCAAACGCCTTTTGGGACAAACGCCTAGCTGAAGCTGGTAGGAAAGTGGCTTGACAATCTAAATGTGCCTGCTAACAGAGTAGATCCCAGCCATCTCTGCAGCTGCCCTTCTCTCCTTCAAGGTCAACAGCCAAAAGGGGTTCACTTAGGGAAGGTTGGAAGCTCAGCTGCTACATAGGATCCTTGTGCCACTAAGCGACTAGGTACAATGGCACGATTCAATACCCATAAGCTGGCTGTCCTTGGCCGTGGCCACAATCGTTTTCCTGACACTGTCTTTCGACAGCGTTCTGGTTACAGTAAGTCCATTACCGTACGCCGTACACCAAAATAATGCATTCTCCCCTTGTTTGAGGTAGATACCTATCTTAAGTGGCCTGAAATGGCTGAAGGCTTTAGAAACAACATGTTTGGCTTGTTCTACGGCTCTTTTCAACAGAATTCCAAACTGGGAACCAGCCTCAAAGGAGGAGCTCCAAGCTTCACATCGCTCAACCGCAGTGGCCGTGGTAATCTGCAGACAACAGCAAAGCAAAGACTTAGAAGTGGAATATGAATGCAACCGAATGCACTAATGCCGCAACCCAGTTTGCGCCTACCAGTGATTCTCAGGATGCGCTCGGCTTCCTGAGCACATGTGAGCCCACAAAGTATATTGTATAACCAACAAACAAGCACCTTGGCATGTCACATCCAAGTGTCCATTGGCTGAGTCTCCTGCCTCTGGGCTTTTGGTCTTCTGCCTGTTTTCAGGATCCCATTTGGCCGAGTTGTCGTACTCATAGCGAAGAGCCTTCAAAAAGTATGCGACGTCGAAAAACACCTACAAACACCAGATTATATCGTCGCACCAAAACAAAAAGGGGGCCTGTCGACGCAAATGTCACACGTCCAAGAAGTCCGAGTCTATAAGTCCGAGTCTGTCAGCATCCTTCTGCCCTTTTGCAACTAGCAACTAGGAATGGAGCAGGGCCCATCTCCCGTCTTTTCTCTCGCAACTCTTCCTCGCTTTTCTCCACCGAGAGCCTTGTGATCTCGGCCGCAATAGGCGTTTGCCGGAAAAACTTTGGGCAAAGACCATCAAAAGTCAAAGGTCAAACTACAACGGAATCAAGTGCCTCGCTCGTGGAAATTCATTTTCACAAAGTGATTTTTTGGGGTGTATACTTTCAGCAATTTCAATCTTCTCAGCATAGAAATGTTCGAACACCATGCGATACACACACGCAACTTTAAGCAACCAGAAGGCTCTGCCAGGGACTGAGCTGGCACCTGCATCTGTAATGTCCTTGGCAATTTGTAAGTCACTCGGGTTTATTCTGGCTGATTTTTGTTGTCCCCGAGCAATCCAGAGGCAAAGAAGCTTTAGCGGTAGCCAAGTCTCCTGAATCCCTAGCGATCCATCTTCCAAAGGCCATGTGCGGGCTTGTGAGAAGTCCAGTCGCTTTAGATCAATCTTCCGCCATTGCGAATTTCTATAACCTGGCCAGGCGGACTTCAACATGATTTGCCCATATTATAGGCCAGATATCTTAGATCATGCAGTGTGCGGCTCTTTACTGGAAAGGCTGCCGCCTCGAATCAGCATCACACGGTCCTGACCAGTCTCTCTCCCGCCATTCTGATCGCGCGATTCTTTACCGCATCACCAGTCTCCCATCTTTCTTTCTGGATGTTTGAGTCTAACTTTAATGTTTAGAGCTGGAGGAATGGATACATCGGGCATGACTGACCTAGCCTTTTCAAGTGCGAAGGGTAAGATGTCTTGATTACTAGTTCCAACTGCATTGGGTGTCCTGTGCACTCTTCAGGACAGCGTAGTCTGTAAGCTCTGGTCCATCGCTCTTTTTCTTTGGATCTGCCGCCACTGTACCAAGCCTGACACACTTTGTTCATCTTTGTTACCTGTACCAACTAATGCCATCCGCACATAACATAGACGTACACTCGATTACAACTCGCTGACCCTGTGGTCATATTAATATCTACTGTATCCATCTGTGTCTTGAAGAAAGCGTGTATGTGGTATTGCAGCAGCGTGGCGGTATGAACACATTGTTGAGAAGAGCAGTTCCTTGGGATGCATATCGGCCAAAAGGGAGCAAACAAGTGTCACACAAAACATGCTATGCAGACATACGGTGTAGCTGGCTGGCAAGTTGAAATATACATATATATATATATACATATATATAAGTAAAGTATCCCAAAACAGCAGCGTCGTCGAAGCTCTTGGGAGGATTTGTTGTCATGGCATATCCGCGCAAATAGAAAAGTCCTCAGCTTAGCTTGGCGACACTTATGTCTATTGAAGTAAGAAGCAGCTTGTCCAGGCCAGAGCACCCTTTTTCTCCGAGACACTAATAAAGCGGCTGGGAGGAGAGCTGTCTCCAGGGAGACCAAATCTCGAGGCAACAAGGGCAAAGCAGAAAAGGCAGGCAAAAAGAAAGTCAAGGGCCCCTCTAATAAGGCCCCCTTTGGAGGACCCTCACCTTCCTTTTTCAGCGACAGTCACGAGCTTGTCTCAGCTCTGAACAAATTCCATCCATGGCCAACTGGACGTGGGACGATTCCTTGCAGGACCACAATACTTGACAGTATTTGCAAACCAGCAATAAGCTGACTGGCCAAGACCAGCCACAAATTCAAGCCAAATGTCCTATGTCATCGTCCACCTTCACTTGCAGCGGATCATTTTCTACTGGATAGTTGGGGCTGAGGTTGACCTCCAGTGCCGAGTCTGCGTGACAATACTACCGATCAGTTCGCAGGAAATCAGGCATCCTCAGAATCCTGTAGACTGATTGGTAGCTACAGTGACAGGAATGAAAACATAGGCCTTTTGAAGCATTTTGATGCTCCCACGAGCACAGGGCCGTTGCGGCCAAGTCGCATGTGTATTTAAATTTCTCCAGTGCCACTTGATGTCTGGGTCCTTGGCTTGTAATGAATCAGCTGCTTGTCTCCATCTGCATGCAATGAATGACATAGATGATTTCCCGTTGTTCCTGAACGTAAATACAGGATCGTACTGGTGTATTATGGTGTGTTTGCGGTTTTATTCTAGTTCACTGTATCTACATCGTGTCACAGTTTTTGACATACTTGATTGTCGTTTCTGACAAACGATCAAGCATAAAACGTGCTGCAAGTCCCTAGTGCTCCACTCTGTCAGGACACATTGGTCATCACTCCTCAGCGTGTTGATGAGTGGACACATGCAGTTTGATGACATAATAAGCTTTGCATAGCTCTGTAAGACTCAAGTTGTTCTTCACATGTTGAACATGGTTGTGAAAGGAGCAACGCCTATCATGCCAGGACTCGTGGATGGTTCTCCAAAATCATCCGCTTGCCCTGCCAAGGTCGTATGTTCCGCCGCAGCGATGAAACAACCAAGCATTGTCACCATCACCTTCTAGGAGAAACAGGAAACCGAGAACCAACGCTCACCCTCATGTGGCTCTGATACATTTTGGATGGGGCTTTAATTTATGTCTAAGCCATTCTAAGCCTAGGCAAATGGGAAGAGACAACAAAAGATCCGATGTTCATGATGTCCATCTGCCGCTTTCGCCACTTCTCCTGGAGGTATTCGACGATGATGGACCGGCCAGTAGCATCAGCAATAGCCCAATGCAAGCCTTCTCCATCCAGCGCCTGGCTTACAAAGAAACCAACTTGCCCCAGCTTTTCAAGGCCAAGGAATAGCAAGTCTCTGGTGTCACGGATTCCGTGTCAACCCGTTCTCCCGAATTCCGTGCGATTTGCAGTGATACGCTAGGAGCAAGGACGCTACTAGGGGCTCCACCCCATTGCAAGTGGAAAGGAGCGACGAGCCTGCAGACTTGGAGCCACGACGTTGACAGATTCCAGCATCTCTATCGCACCATCCACACTTGAGCCTCGTCTTCTTTTAAACCCGGGGGGGTAGGCCGCTAGTAGAGGTAGGTAGCTGGTAGTAGGTAGGTAGCTAGTACCTACAAGTAAGCTAGCTACTACTTCGGACGCAGGATAGCTCACGCTTCTTCAAGGAAGCGCTGGCACTTTTCACTTGGTTCCTAGATTCTTAGGGAAACTCGACATCTCTTAGTTTTACTCTGTCTGGATAAGGTTTTCTGCTTTGGGGTGCAAGCACCGTCAGCACCGTCAGCGACTACATCTATATAATATACTCATGTTGGATTTGTACGAGTCCAGCGGCTGAAACTAACAGCAAAAGTTCAGAAATATTCTGATAAAGCCCATGGCACAGTTTGCCAGAAGTGCAGGGATGACGTCTTCAGCACTCAAGTGTTTCCTTGGCATGACCATAAAGACAGGTGCATTGCCAAAGAATGCTTGTTGATCCAAGTCATTAGGAAGAGAATCTTTCCTGGCTCTGGTCTCTCGTATATAGACTCTGTCAAGAGGAGCCCGGAGACTGTCAAGCCCACCTGGCACACGTGAATCTGCAAACCAAGGTGCACTGCAAGGGACATCAAAAACTTCTGATCGAAAACTTCTGGGCTTCGCCTCATTCATGCCCTCAAAGGGAATCTTGAGTTCTAGGCCCGTGGGAGGAAGATGGAAAATGTTCATGGGAGCGAGGTAACCTCGTTCAGAACAGACTGTGCTCGAGAAGTGTCTCTGTGGAAGATGGTCTGTGCAATCGATGCATTTCCAAGCTCTCTAAAGCTAAGCCCATTGGCCAAACTTGTTTTCACTCCCTCGTGGTACAGCTTCAATGCTGTAATTGGTGCTGTCAAACACATTGTTGAGCTCCATGGTCCTGCAGCAGACACACAGTACATACATGTGTATGAACACTAAGGGACATGTATACCCGTACACCAGTTGCATCTCAAGCGTCGGTTTCTGCTCTCCTTGGAATGAGATATGATATTCCTCTACTGTCTTCCCAAGGAATCTCCACATAACTGCACCTACAGGCGGAAGTGTGAGAAGAGAGACTGGAGTGGACCGTTTCAACTGAGAAGCGGGCGCCCAAGAGGCGGGAAGGAAACTCAAAAGCTTCAGCATGGTTCCAGCTCCACAGCTATCAACTCAGCGAAACAAACTAAACGCCTGGTCCTTTGCACAGGCGGTTGAGCTGGAATAAATCTGAAAGCACATGAGTTGGAGATGCTTGAGAAAAGAATATCACCTGAAAGGGCTCTTTCCACAGAAAACCAGGCATGTGCCTTGTCTGATGTTCCTGATGCTGCCTGTCCGGCCTGGCCATTTCAGAGTCACTCTTGTCGTCTACTTCAAATGTCTCCTGCTTGCTACCAGACTTCGTCACACTGAACATGACAGGCATGAGAACGAGCTGGAGGGCACATCACCAATGAAGCTCGGCTCCCAACAAAGCCTTGGATTTCTCCGCGCTCAATGACCTTTGATCCTTGACTTTGAGGCAAGGGCGTCAGAAGCATGAGCTGGAGGCCCAGGATATACCTGCATCTTGGAAATCCTAAATCCTGTAGCTTGGAGTGTCTTGCAACCCTACTGAGATGGCCTCCAGCCAGCAACGTGTACTCTGCGACCTTGATTTTATTAATAAACCGTGAAAACATGTCGTGAAAATGACTGGCTCAAAAGCATTCGCGCAATGTCAAATGAATAAATCTGACATGTAATTCGTACGAGAGACCTCCATTGCCAAGGGATAGAGTAGAATTGGTCAACAAATGACGAAAGGTAGAGCAGGATAGATTTAGCTACTGCACCTCATGTTGTTTCGGTGCATAGTAGTTGTTCACTAGTTGTTCACCCAGGAATGCAAACGAGCTTTGGGCGTGAAAGGATTGGCGATCGGAGGATGCTGGATACTTTTGCCCTAAATAAGAATGCAAGTGCTAAATTGACATGTAATTTTTGATTCTCCTGAATGAATTGCAAGTGATGATGCCGCTCCCTCCC